AAACCTCTGAAACTTCAATCAGCAGCCCAACATGTTATGTGTTACGCCACCACATTCCTCACATCATAGGTAGCAAAGGACTCATATTTTTAATACATCAAAGGACTCTTAAGAGAAAAATACAAAAGACAGATATAGACTTTCCAAAGAAACATAAGCATAAGGGACATACTGTCATGTGGCAATATATTCAGCCCCATGACCAAAGAAATGCAAACGTTGATAACATTAAGAGTCACAGAGAGCTCTGGTGGCCTAGCGGCAAGAAGCTGCACTGCAATCCCAGAGGCTTGTGGTTCAAATCCACCAGATGCTCTGCTGGAGAAGAAGGGATCACATCTTCCTGTACCAGTCAGATCCAATTTGACAGTACAAACACACAAAAAATAAACAATAACAACAGCAAAGTCATAAAGTTATTGTATTAAGGTCTATTTTCAAAGAAGTTTTAAAAAACTTGGGCCATGGTGCAACTACTATGGAAGGCTGTATGGCACTTTCTCAAAAAGTTGCAAATAGAAATATCATGACTCAGCACTTCCACTAATAGGAATATACCCCAAAGAAACCATAACCATCACCCAAGCAGATATATGCACACTCAAGTTTACTGAGGCTTTGTTCACAATAGCAAAGAGTTGGAAACAACCCAAGTGCCCATCAACAAACAAATGGATAGAGAAGCTCCGGTATATTCACACAATGGAATACTATGCTGCATTGAAAAATAAGGAACTCATGAAAATATTATACAAAATGGGTGACCCTGGAGGACATTATGCTAAGTGAAATATCTCAGTCACAAAAGGACAAATATTGCATAGTGGCACTGTTGTAAAACGGGACTGACTTAGGGGTTGCGGGGACACTGAGAAAGAGGGGATACGTATACTGCATTAAAACAGATGAGGGAGAGAACTGTTTAAAAGGGATAGATGATTAGGTATTATAATCATGACAGGAGTCCAGAACGAAGGCTGCACAGTAGAGTGGACTTGAGCGGAGGGACTGTGTAACAACGAAAGAATTTTTCTTTTACTTTTCAAAGAGTGAACTACGGGGGAGGGGTGGCCAGGGAAAAAAGTTCAACAATGAATGAATGGAAATCCAAAGTCTCTGTAAACTTTGATTAAAAAGAAAAAATCTTGGGCCACCCTAGATAAGTAATTTGGTGTATCTCTGACCTACCGAATCTCAGAGTCTTCATCTAAAGGGAATATTCTGAGAAGATGCAAAGTTGTTCAATGGAGAGCTTTATTATTTCAATAAACAAGCACTTGAAAGTTTCCTAAACAATGAAAACAACAGCTACCTTGTTTAGTACCTATTGCCTCATGTGCTGTGAAAGTTGGACAATGAATAAGGAAGAATGGAGAATTGATGCCTTTAAATTATGGGGTTGGCAAAGAACACTGCATTCACCACGGACTGCCAAAAGAACAAACAAATCCGTCTTGGAAGAAATGCAAACAGAGTGATTGTTAGAAGCAGGAATGGTGAGATTCTCGGTTCACACACGTGGACATGTTCAGATGAGGTCTCTGGAGAAGGACGTCATGGCTGGTAAACAAGGGGGTAAAGAAGAGGATCATCCATAAGACGATCGACACAGTGACTGCGGCTACAGCTTCAACTGTGGCAGCAACTGTGAAGGTGCAGTGTCCTATTCTGTTGTCACACAGGGAGTCAGCGCAACTCAATGACACCTAACAACAGACACACCGACAGTATGCTGACCTTTTCCTGTGTATGTCTCATTCAAAGACCTGATCTAAGTTATGGTCTTTTCAATTAATTGTGATGCATCTCAAAGTTGGACAGTGAGTAAAGACGACGAAAGAAGAAATTGATGCTTTGAGTTGTGCTAGGGACGAATACTAAATATCCCCTAGACTTCCAAGGCAACAAACAAATACACCCAAGAGAGGGTGCAGCCAGGGTCCTCCTTAAAGGCAAGGATGGTGAACCTTCATGTCATACACTTTGCGCATATTGTCAGAAGGGGCCAGTTTTTGGAAAAGGAATTAAGCTTGGAAAGGTGGAGGTCAGAGAGGAGGGCAAGAACCCTTAATGAGATGGATTAATATAGTGGTTCTAACAATAAGCTCAAGAGTGGCCGAGATGATGCGGGTGGCACAGGATGACGCAGAGTTCAGATTCATCGTTCACAGAGCTGCTGAGTTGTCGGCTCGACCACACCTTACAACCACCACCACATTTCCAATAGCCTTGGGAGGCCAACTCCGGCTTTGCAGACAGCATCAGGATATCCCAAGATTAGGGAACTGGAGCAAGTCACACAGCTAAGACGGGAGAACATGGAACTGTCAGCGTCACCACAGAACTTATTTTCTCAGTATGCTGCTTCAATAATCTTAATCAAAATAAGCAAAACTCTCTTTAAAAACAGGAAGACAGAATTCCTTGGCAAGGAATACGTTTTGGTTTTTCTGGTTTGGTGTTTTGTTTTTTTTTAATGCAGCTGTTTAAAGTCTGTTTCTTTAAAATAAAACAAAACCGTATCTGAAGCTTTGCTGGCCATCATCTGGACTTCCTGGTTCAAAGGCAACTTGGATTGCCCTCATTAAGTTAGCGAAACCACTTCTGTAGTACCTGCCTTTGTTGTTCTCAAGTACACACAGAGTGGGGAAAAAATAGAAGGTCCCCATACGTCCTCAGTTTTGTAGGACTGACGCTTGTGGAGTCCCATTTGGGCTGAAATGACATGGTTGGAGACCTTGTCTGGTTACAGCTGGCTCTTTCGCTTGCTTTCATGTGGAATTCAGCACGTGACACACATTTGGATCTGTGCAACCGCCTTAAGTGTCTCCAAGACAGACTCCTTTTTAAAAGCTTGCACTTCTGCACTAAGCAACAAGCTAAATCTCAAAGAAACTACTGTACAAAGGCAACGGAAGACGGGCCCCACAGACAGATGGCTTGTCACAAATCCCAGGACTCGTGTAAATGTCACATTTCAAACTTCAGGCAGCCCGTGAAGTGCTAGCAGAAAGCTACTGCTCCCGAAATGTTTTCTACCCAGAAAATCATTTCTGATAATCCTGGGTCTTGCGAGACTGCCAACTTCTGCTCTCAAATTCTAAAATAAGCCCCCAAACCACAGAGGCCCAGACAAGGATTAAACCACTGGCAGGGGCTGCTAAGTCAATTCTAACTCATGGTGTCCCAGGTGGGTCTGCAGCCCTGCGCTCCACAGAGTTCCCAATGGCTGATGGGTAGCATGGCCAGGTCCACTTTGAGGGATGCCAGTCTTTCAGTTAGTAAAAGGCCCTGGGCAAGAAAGCCTACATTACATCATTCATTCTACTTGGGATCAGGAGTTTTTGTTGGATTTTTAAAAAAAATCTATTTTGGTGAAAGTTTACAAATCCCACAAGTTTTCTCAGATAGTCATGCACAGGCATTAACTACCATTAATTGATGCAATTTACTTATTACAAAGTCTAAACAAACCTTTATTATCTACTGCTATTCTGATCTCTTTCTCTTTTTATTATTTTTCCCCCCCCTTTTCTTCCCTGTACCTCCTACTCTGACCTCCACTTAATCTAAAAAGCCTGGAGGATGTTATGATGAGTAAAATAACTCAGCCACAGAAAGAACCATACTGTAGAAGACTATTGTTACAGAAACAAGACAGTTGGGGCAGGAAGGCGTGACAGGAAGAGAACGGACAGATACTTCCTGTATTGGAATAGGTGAAGGAAAGGCAATCTGAAATGAATAAAATGATCAGGTGTCATGTGAACAGCAAGTAACATCCCTGGGACCGTTTCTGGGTGATTTGAAGTTACTATCGCAGGTGCTAACCGGAAAGGCTGTCAGTTAGGAACTATGCAAAAGCACCTCGAAAGAAAGGCCTGGCAATCTGTAACTAAGGAAAAAAAGCCAACCAGCATCGAAAACCCCGTGAACTACTGTGACTCTCATAGGACTGTCCTGAGTCAGAAATGACTGATAGCAACCAGCTTGACTTTTTTTTGGTTTGGCTTGAGAAGGAAGATCACGTGAACTTTTCAAATATTAGTCGAGACCTTTCATGAAGATAAAGTTTATGGTAACTAAAATTTCATGTGTTGCTTATAATTGTTGTGTACCACTGAGTCAGAACTGACCCATAGGTTTCTCTTCCACGGAAGGAGATTGCCCACCCTTCTCCTGTGGAGCAGCTGACAGATTTTATAAAGTCAATCAACAGGATGCGTATGGAAAGGAAAACAGTTCCCTGAATTCTCTGAGGATGTTGTTGTTGTGCCGCTGAGTCGCTCTGACGGAGCAGTCTGTAGGAGGTTGCACTGCTAACCCAAAGGTGGCACTTTTCTGTCAAATCTACCAGCTCCTTAGGACAAAGATGGGCAATTTCTTCCTTATGTGATAGTCTCCAAAAAACCTGCTGTAAGGTCAGCTCTGAGTCCGCTCTGAGCCAACAGCAGTGAGTGAGTGAGGGGTGAAAAAGAGAATTCTAGAGGGAAAACAACCCTGAAATGCCACTGCATTTAAACTATGCGAGCAGTGAACCAGCATTAAAAAAAAAAAATAGTTGAGTTCATGAATGACCCCTTCAGGATTTACAGGTAGAGATGTGAAGAAACAACTGTAATAAAATGTCCGTGGTAGAATCTAAGTAGTGTTTTCACTAAGTTTGGAAATTAACAGAATAAAATGTTAGGTATTCCTCCCAAACCATGGTCTAGACTAGTCTGAATTTTAAGAAAAAAAGGTATTAAAATAGGATACAATTTTAAATACCAAAGTATGACACACAAACCGTGTGGCGTAGCTGACCTGGGTTTCCAACCCTTCAGAAGTCACCAAAGATGAGCTAGGAGACAGGGTTCTCTGTGGGCCTCCTGAGATGGTCAGACTCACCCTGCCCAAACCGGCCAACCCTCAGGCCACACAGCCTGGGGCTGCTGCAAGGGATACACAATTTCTGTTTTCCAATTCAAAGAGTCTAGCAACTGGACTCAGCAACTTACCTTGAGAACAACTGAAAAGTCAACATCTTTGGTTTCCTTCAGTCCAAGAGGAATCAGGGGAATTGTAAATGCCTCCCTAAAAGAAAGAAAACATAGCATATGAACCCCTACCAATGGCACTTAGGGAGCTCTGGTAGCCTTATATTAATAAACTGTGCTGCAATCTCAAAGACAAGCAGTTCAAATGCACCAGTTGCTCCACAGGGAAGGATGGACAATCTCTTCCTGAGCGATTATTGCATCTGAAATACGCTGGCAAGCCAGCTACCAGTCAGTTCTGACTTGATGGCACACCACAAGAAGAAAGTAAGTTACTTACTCACTGCAGCCAGAGTGCTCCTTAAAGGTAAGGATGACAAAGCTTCACCTCACACACTTTGGGCGTGTTGTCAAGAGGGACAATTCTTTGGAAAGGGATATCATGCTTGGAAAAGTGGAGGGTCAGAGAACTTGAGACCCTCAATGAGATGGGCTGATACGGTGACTGCAGCACAAATATGTCAGAGATGCTAGGATGGCACAGGACAGGACAAGGTTCAGATCTGTGGTTTATAAGGTTGCCGAGTGGAGTATGACTCGACAGCACATAACGAGAAATAAGTCACTTTATATCACATGGCCTTCCCCCACCATCCCAGATCAAAGCCATCTCCTCATGCTGGTCCACATACTGCTGATGGGTTAACCTCTCACATAGATGGCCCTGGTTACGTGTGCCCCCTTTTCTAAGGTGCACCACAAACACCGTGACTTCTGGACCACCCAGTCTAACACATAAGGCCTTCTATAAACTCAGCCTTGATATGCCCTCCTCTGGGCCACTGTTGGGAGTGCACTGTGCACCAGGCCCACCCCTGCACTGGGAGCACCACCTCCACACACCTGGCCCTTCTCCTCCCACACCGCAGGGATTCTCACACCTCACAGCCACGGGAGTTCCCAGGGACATCCACCTAGGTACCCCATCGCCTTCACAGGGAACACCCTGAGGGTAGACACTTAATCTGCACACCCACTGACCACTGACCCCACAGGTTATCCTGGGAGTGCTCCCTGAACCCTACATTCTTAGGTGTAGGGCCAGCAGGAAGTGAAATGGGCTCAGGCTCTGTTTTGCAAACAGGGATTTTGCTCTCTGACCTGTAACAGGAGAGCTGGGTGGCTGCTCAGCCTGGCCCAGCCCAGCCCCGGGGAAGGCCAGGAATGCTGGGCAGGAGGGCAGACAATGAGGCTGGAAAGGGAAACTGCTTCTGTGGCAGAGGTGAGCCCCAGCTGGGAGTGTGGCTTCCCCAGTCAGCAAGGAAGATGGCAGGATGAGGACAGAGTGGGTCTCCCTCTCCTCCGAGGCCCAGCGCGCACCTTTCCTTACCCCACACTGGGACTGTGCAGGCAGGAAGGGCAGCCAGGGTCCCACAGCACACACCAGGGAGCATCCCCTGCCCCGTCTCCATTCTCACATACCCTTCTGTGTGACCTCAGTCCTTCATGGATTTCCTCATGCCCGTGGTGAGAACATGTCTGCCCTGCCCACCTCACAGAATTGTTCTCAAATTGAATGCGCTAGGGAACATGACTAAAAAGAAGGTGCAGATACAAGGCACCTTCTCTCTCCTTGCCCCAGTAGCTTAGGCAATCAGTCGGGCCACCTGAGAGCCACACTATGATCACATGGGGTCTTGACTGTTGTCTGTGGTAAACACCATAACAGAGGTCCCTACTCTGCTGGCCTCATCCCTAGGGAACTGCATTGTTAACCTAAAGGTGGTGTCTCTCTGGCTGTTCTAATCCACTAGCTGCTCCTCAGGAGAAGTATGGACAATCTCGTCCCGTGTGATACCAGCTGCCGAAACCTGCTGGAGGTCGGCTCCAACTCCACAGCAATGAGGGGGCAAATGTGTGCTCTTTAGTTTGGCAAATGGGAAGATGGGGCTGTCTATGTTTGAGACCAAGGTGGAGTCGGTCTTGCTTCCTCAAGGAATTCTGAGCTGGAATTTAGGGTAGCTGGAAGGACTCTTACTCTGGTATTCAAAACGCCAATGAGAGCCCCAAGGTACACCAAAGGCAGTTTCTCACAGCCGCACTGTCCCTCTGGCTCTGAAAAATGCTCACCACGCACCACAGAGGACCAGCATCAGGGGAGGCGCATTCCAGAGGGGATGCTGAGGTCCCTGAGGTCTTCCTTCTGCTAATCCAGGCAACTATTTTCTGAATGTTTTCCCCAGTTCCCACCCACCTCTTAAGAACTCTCATCCTCCACAAAGAAAACTATGCAAATCCTTCCTTGAAGCTTTCAGACTTATTTGTTCTTAAAGTTGGATCTTCCTTTCAAAGGCAGCTCATCTTAGGATAGGAGATTTTCTTGGTATTCTGACCTTTCCTGGGTGCCCCCCCCCCCCCACTTTGTGGATGTACATCTTGGCAATCTGTTTCTGTGAAGATGTATGACCTTGGAAGACCTCTGCCCCCCCCCCCCGTCAATAGTCTACCTCCCACAAACACCACTAAGGGAGATTTTTGGGTCAGAATGTCCATTCCTCAAATATTTAAGGAGTTATATTTCTGCAACGGCTCAGCTGCACCGTCTCTTTAAGGAACTCGCACAGGGTCACATAAACTTCGGTGTAAGGATTAGAGCTTTTAGAGCTTTTTTTTTCATATGGCTTTTTGATTGGTTTGTTTTTATAGTTTTTGGTTTTTTTTTTCATTCTATCAATAGAATGACCCAGAGTCAGGTGAGGCAGATACGCAGGGAAGAGCAGAAGTGGAGATCAGAGGAGAGAGAGACAACTTGACTCCTACTGGTAGGTCAGGTGTCAAAGGTAAGCATAGATGGGCTCCTGGGGCACCTTGATCAGGGTCTCTCCACTCTGACATGGACACACATGCTTATCCCAGAAAACCAGGTCCAAAGAGCCTCCAGGACAAATGCCTTTTTATCCAAATCTCTATAGATATCTTCTCAAAACTCCTTATGCTCATTCCTCGAAGACTCTGCTAAACCTCAAACCCAGTAAGACCCCATTCCCAAAGTGAAGTCTGTCACACACCTTGAGTTCAGAGAACACCCCCCCACCCCCCGCCAACCTGGCTCACCCCTGTGCCCACCCGAGGCAGGCGTTCACCATGAACTAAGATGTTATCAGGTTGAGCAGACCCTCCTGTCACCTCGTTTACTGAAAGCTAACGTTATCGGAATGAGTTTGGATTTTATCAAATGTTTTCTTCTCTTCGCCTAATGAGGTCATTACTGGGGTCCAGGAAGCAGGAGGAGGGACTTCCCACTTACTCTGTGCTCTGGTAGACCCCCACTGAGATGTTGAGCCCCTCCAGCTGTTCCTTGAGCATCTGCAGGTCCGAGTTCACGAAGCTCAGCTCCAGTCGCACCTGTTCCCGCACCTTGTGGTTTGTGGCTGCTCTGTCAAGAGAAGGGGGATGAAGGGGTCCTCGGTCAGGCTTCACACACCCAGGTTAACACACCTCATCCCCAGCCCTGGCCCATGTGAGCCCCAGGTGTGGTCAGGTAAGTCATCTCCAAGATGCTGGGCATCTCTCCTGTCCCCCAACAATATACCAATGGCAGACATGAATCCTGAAAGTACAACAAACAAAGAGTCAGCCTCAAAAAGAGGACAGAGACCTGCTCCTGGTCACCTCTAAAAAACCACAAGTTATCCTTTTCAAAGAAAATGGGTGAGAATTGAGAAAAGGAAATACTTCTTAACTCATATTATAATGGACTATTATTACGGCATCACAAGGAAAGGAAGTAACAGGTCAGTAACCTTCATGAGCACACATACAAAAATTCTCAACAACAACTCAGCAACCTGAAGTCATATAAAAAGATTAAACACTATGGTCAAGTAGAATTTATCCCAGAAATAAAGTTAGTTGCCACTGAGTCAGAACCGACCCATAGCTGACCTTCCAGAAGGTTTTCAGAGGCAAGTAAATAACGGAGGAGCATTAGCCTTCTTTCTCCCGTGAAGCAGCTGGTGGATTCAAGCCACATGCCGTCAGGCTGGCAGTGGAGCTCCTTACCACTATATTAATAAAGAGCACACGCTGGCAATGGTCTCATTAAGGGGGGTGGGGGGAAGCATTTGATAAAATCCTAACTCATTTATAACTACTCTCAAGAAATTGGTGGAATTAAAGAGACTACGTTCAAAACCTGCAGAAAAGGGTGGGCAGGGAGAAAAGTGCGGCAATGAATGAATGGAAATCCAAAACCTCTGTAAATGTCTATTAAAATTAATAAAAAATTTAAAAAAACCTGCAGAAAGGACTCTCACATCATGGTTATGGCCAAGCACTGATTCCTGTTCCTCTTATAATTAGGAACCAGGCAAGGATGTCCTCTTCTGTCACCTCTAATCAACACTGTCTTGCAGGTCCAAAGCCAGGGACAATTAGGTAAACAGTGAATTTGAATGTATTCAAATTGACAGGAAGTAAAACTATTTTTATTCAGAAACATGGCTTTATCAGTAAAAAAAGCCCACAAACCCACGTACTAGAACTGGTTAACTTTTCCTGCTGTTGTTAGGTACCTTGGCGTCAGAACGGATTCACTGCTGACCCTCCAGCGGGTTTTCAGAGGCATTCCCAACTCAGAGGTGCTTGGCTTCTCAGCAGGAAAGTAAGAAATCTCCTCCCATGCAATTTACTGCCTCTGAAAACCTGCTCGAGGATCAGCTATAAGTCAGTTTTGATTCCACAATACCTATCAACAATAACAAGATAAATTTACTACTTCCAGTACTTATTTTGTGGATTCTGTGGGATTGTTTTACACATAGGATCATGTCTCTGGGAGTAAAAACCATTTTACTTCCCTTCAATCTGGATGCCTTTAAATTCACTATCTAATTGTCACTAGCTTACCTGGGTCCATATTAAAAACATTAAAAAGTAATAATCTTTAAATTAAGAAAACAATTCCACTCACAATGGCATAAAAAATAAAGTACTTAGAAATAAATCTAACAAAAGAAACACAAGCTATGTACATCAAAATGATATGTTATTATTGATATATAGGTGACAAGCATGAAATATTCCCATTTATAGACTGGAAGGCTCACTATACTTTCATCAAAATGCCAGTTGTTCTTAATTGATCTACAGATTTGACATAATCTCAATCCAAATCCCAGTAAATTTTTTAGTGGAAACCTATAAACGGATCCTAAAATGCGCTTTTCAATATGGCAGCACCCAGTGGCAGTATGAACTGTGAGGAGTTCGCCAACTTCCAGGAATTATTCAAGGTGATGAGGACACGAATTAAACACAACACGTCCAACAGCTTCCTTAGCAGGGAAATCAATACCAGCCAAACCTGTAAACAACTTTATGAGTCTTTGGTGGCAGCCCATGCCAGTAGGGACAGAGTCACAAAAATTGTATAGCCCAAACCTCAGCAGTAGTAAAAAACCTCCAAGAAGAGAGAGAAAAGAATTTGGACAATTTAACGTTATTAAAGCAACTTAAAAAGAACAGACAAAGTTGAAATGGATGCAATCAGAACTGAACGTTGAAGAAGTAGTAAATGACAGGAGCTGGAAGGTGAACGCTGCCAAATTCACTTCAAGCCTCCAAAGAATGAATAAGGAAGAGAGATATGTTTTTTTAAAGAACCAGATCATGTCATACGAGCTAACCATGACAGACATCAACGGGGTGGATTCTCAGGGGGATTTTTGAGGCTACAGTCTAAGACCTTTGGTTGATTTCAGCCCCAATCAGCCTAGACCTCAAATATAAATAATAATTCAGATAATTATGAAGATATCAACTGCTATTTTATACTGATTCTGTACAAAAGTTTTGTAACTATTAAAATAATTTTCTGAAAAAAAAAATGTATATGGAAATGTGAAGGCCCTAGAAAAGGAAAAGTCCTTTTGAAAAAGATAAACAATTTTGAAGGACCTAGGCTATCTGATTTCAAAACTTATTCTAAAGCCACAGTCATTAAGACTGTGGTATTGGCATAAGGACAGACCAAGGAACAGAATACAGTGCAAAAACAAGCCTTTGCAGTTATGGTCAATTGACTTTCTTTTCATTTTTTAATAGTGATTTGAAAGCTTACAAAGCAAACTGGTTTTCCATTCCACCATTTATACACATTTTGTTTTACAACATAATCACAATACCCACAATGCTGTCACACTCTTCCCACTTCTACTCTGTGAGTCTCCTTTTCATTAATCCTCCTAGGCACTCCCTGCTTTCTGAGCTTCCTCCTCAGGCAAATGCTGCTTGTTTGTCCTTCTATTCTAAGGAGTCAGTGCCTCCCTGGTGTTACTGGTGATTCTAAAAGCCTGTCTATGGTTTGACCAGAAGTTGAGTAAAGGTCACAACCCCTGGGTGTTCCATCAGTCTCTACTGGAATAATAAGCCTAGCTTTTATGACGGTTTTTTTAATTTTGTTTAACTTTTCCCTGACTCTAGACAGTGTCATCTACTGTGATCCCTTATAGAATAGTCAGCAGTGTTAAGCAGACACCAATCAGTTTTCTGGTTCAAGGTCATGGCAGCTGAGGCTGATGTGGTCCATTATTCCTTTGGACTAACCGTTTCTACACACCTTTGTTTTTCTACCCTCTTCTTTATTCTGGGCAAGGAGAGACCAAGAGTTGCCATCTTTGATGGTGGCTTACAAGCTTTTAAAACCCCAGTTATTAGTCAACAAAGCACGGTGCGGACCAAGGTCCTGGTGGATATGGTCAACTGATTTTCAACAAAAATATCAAGAACATTCAGCAGAGAGAATGTCTTTTCCACAAATGGTGCTGACACAACTGAATGAATACCCACAGGTATATCTGGGTGCCCAAGATCCAGGTTCAGAGATTTGAAAGTATGGTTCACATGACTCAGCACAGTTGAGCTCACTGGCTAAGACTTATAACAGTAAAAGAACACAAAGTGAAATGGGCAAATGGAAAGGCATAAGAGGCAATGTCCAGAAGGGATGAGGTGCAAGCTTCTCAGCATCCTCACCCACTGAACTCAAACACAACGTGCTTAGATCCTTCAGAAATGAACTGTAACAACTCATGAGAGACACTTTCTATTAGGGGAAGATCATCAGAAACTGTTGTTAGGTGCCTTCGAACTGGTTCCAATTGATAGCAACTTTTACGGACAAAAGAATGAAATGCTATCTGGTCCTGCAACAGAGAATTCTTATTGTGTATGTTGAGTTGGAACCAATTCAAAACTGACCTGCCAACGGGTTTTCAGAGGCAGTAAAGCACACAGGAGGAGAAGGTCCATCTTTCTCCCATAGAGAAGCTGGTGGATTCAAACAGCATACCTTTGCATAGGTGGTGCAATTCCTTTCCACTAAGCTGCCAGAGTTCTCCTTTAGGAACTAGTAAGCAGGTGGCAAGAAGCTGCACTGCAATCTCAGAATCTAATAAGCAGGATTGTTCTCAAGTGCTGCACCCATAGGCACGTTCTGCCTAGAATGTTCCAAAATACCCCACTCCAGAAGGAAAGTACGCGTTCAGCATAAACCACATTGTCTGAACAATTTACACACAGATGCTGTTCTTTAAGCTGCTGTCCAGTTGGTCTCTAACTCTTCGTGACCCATGGACAACAGCATGAAATACTGCCTCATCTGTGCCATCCATGGCTGGGGGGGAGGGCTGATGTGATCCACACAGTTTTCATTAGCTGGTGTGTTTTTTTAAAGTTGTCACCAGGCCTTTCTTCCTAGTCTGTCTTAATCTAGAAGCTTCATTCAAACCTGTTCAATATCACAGCAGCATTTGTCCACGGAGCAAGAACTGAGCGTGAGTCTCCATTGTCTCACTTACCACACAGGGAACCATGCTCCATGACGTTCACTTAATGGTGAGAACTCTCCTGAAACCTACGTTTCCAGACACCAACCAAGAGGCAGCCTTGCAAGTAAACCTTTCCAGGAAGTTGCTGCTATTGTTGTGTACTGTCGAGTCGGAATCAACCCGGAGCTGACCCTCCAGCAGGTTTTCAGAGGCAGTTAACTGTATGAGAGGAGACTGTCCGTCTTTGTCCTGTGGAGCAGCTGGCGGATTCGAACCATGTACCTTTGGGTTAGCAGCTCAATTTCTTACCACTAAGTGATCAGAGCACCCTTTCCAGGAAGAATAGTCTGTTATTTTAGTAGGGTAACTCACTCCTACACAATAGCAAAAAAACTAAAACTCTGAACCTCAAACTTAAACTTAAAACTGCCTCAAAATGAACCAGAATTTAGTGCAAAAGCTGAGGTGGGAAAAAAGCAAACAATAAAGAAAGAAAGAAATGCCACCACTCTAAAACTTTTGGGAGAAAATATAGCAGAAACTCTTCATGACCTTGCATTGGGTAGAACATTCTTAGATAAATACCAAACGCACAATCCATAAAGAA